AAACAGACAGTAACAATCTGTACAATCATCTCTGAAGTCTCATTCGTTGTGATCAGCTTAAATATGATGACATATATCTGTGTAAATCCAGTAAATATGTATGTTAACATAACATGTAACATAGATATGGAAATACACTTCAGTTGGAATATACTCTGCTTTGATTACGGTGAGAGGGTAATTTTTTCCTCGTTGACTTTGAAGCCTCTGAGATTGTGTCCATTGGTTGGGCATTGCTACCAGAATGTATAGAGTACCAGAGTATACAGAATACCAGAATGAACAGTGTACAAGAGTATAACAGTGGATGGCTTAATCTGAGTATCCAATGGACACACTTTTGATTTTCTTTTAAACTGTTCTTTCTTGGATATAGTAGAGAAAAATCAAAAACCCGTTTTTCTAAATTGAGAGTTCCTCCATTTCTGTATATAATCTTAAATTTCGCGCAAAACTTCAAATTTATCGGCTTCATATACACGACTCTGATTGGTTGAATTTTATAAGCTTTTATATGATACACGTACAAGATTAGATTAGTCTCGATATAATGAAAAAAGAGAGGATCTTGCATTAATCTCGATATCCAGCATTCGAAAGTTTTCAGCTCTGTAGAAATTAATTTATTGCTTTACACAGAGAAACTATTTATGAACCTTGTACAGTGTACACTTCCGATAAGTTATAAGTTATGAACTGTAGAAAAGGAACGTTATTGAGTATGAAATAGTCCGATCATCGATCATCTTGAAACATGGCAGTTGTGCAGTGTAAACAGAATTTATTTGGCAAGTTAAAAAAAAAAACAAAAAAAATCCGGCAAATTTTCCACGCTCTCCTGAAAACAGTTAAATGGATTGAAATGTGATGGAGAATTTAATTCTAAGGACTTATCGTGCTTAAAAAATAATAATTCGCTTGATTTGTCCAATATTTTTGCATAATCATACATTTTCGTGTCAAAATTTGTATATTTTGGAGACTTATTTTCGTTTATTGCAATTTTATATGTATTACAGATATACACTCATTAGCATTATATATATACCGATACAAACAACAGGATAATTAATTCATGCATTAAAAAATATTTGTAGAGGGGGCGGAAGAGAGGTTGGTTGTAGAAGAAATGAAAAAGAAAACTTGCAAAAGATTATAAGTCACTGTAGGAATTTTTAATGATCCTCTTTTTTCATTCCGCTAAAAACTTCATAACTTTTAAAAATTTATTTTCTCCAGAATTATGAATATATCTTGAAGCCAGCTATTACCACCACTAGAAAATAGCTTTGTCTTGATATGATATTCATTATGTTGCACAGAATTCAAGGAATCATCACCATATGACCAAACTGGTCTCTATATATATTATTTTCTCATAGTTTTTGATGGTTTGTATCCAATAAACGTCAAAATGTATGAACCCGTTGAGAACAAAAATTTCATAATTATTTTTGAAGATTTTGGAAATTTGCAAAAAAAACCAGATAAATCTTCCAACTTTTGTTTTACAATGTTATACAAAGAAAATAATTATTTGCCTTGGTTTGAATACGCTTTAAAAGCTAAAATTATTACTAAAAAAGATGCGCAAAGCGCCAAAATTTTTTTATTTAAAATAGAATATCTTTTTGTAAGTTTAGGTTAAATAATATTCCTGAGACGGTCAAATTTGTCTTTAAGACCTGCTCGCCTGCAAAAAATATCCTTTATTTGATTTTGAATCATTTTTTGCATAATGATCCAAACCCACTTATTCTGTAAACAAATCGTTATTTGGGACCTCTAAAACTATGGAAGACGACATTTGCGCAATATAATGTATTTTTGTATATTGTTATATAGGATAAAATAAATGTTTAAAGGAATCATTTTGAATTGTGCCTGCAACTCAAAGGTCACTTCAATTTCAAAATTGAAATTTAAAATCAATCAAAACCTATTTAAAGATATAAAAATTAAACATTATACACTGTGCTCAATTTAATATCTAAAGTTATAAATTGTTAATAATATTTCCTAAAAAATGGTTAATTTTTCATAATGAAAATAATTCTAAGTCAAGGTGATCACACTCCAAAGGTTAATTGTGCTCCTCTCTATAAAATGAAAAATATTTTTGAAACTGGAGTTCCGATAATTTGAGAAGAAATTTTCAATTTTTTGTGAATCTTTAGATCTCAAGCATTAATGTCCATCTTATGTCATGACCTATAACGGAGTAACTTAATAATTCCTTTTTGATATTCCGTGGTTGTCTAGAAATTTCTCACCAGAGCTGCTCTAAATATTTAAAACCAAAGTATCAGTTAGCAATTGAGAAGATTGAAAAAAGTACCAAAATATTAAAATACAGTGTTCTTAAATGGTCTTTCAGTATTTTGTTATTTTGCCTCTACAATACATGGTTTTTGGTATTGTTTAGGTAGACTTGAACAAGTCCACCTACGTATTTGTAAATTTTGTAGTTAAAATCATAAATATTGTTCCAAGATCTAAAATAATTAAAGTTATATATTATGTTATAAGAAGCGCTTTGAAAGGAATTGAAGGTGGGATAGGTCCCAAAAAAAACAATATAAAAAGCATGGATAAATCATCTTACGAATATAATCGTCTTTATGTAAGTTTTAATTTTATCCTTTATAAATCTAATTGATAATCTAGTTTAATGTTTTATATGAATTATAGAGGCATCTATTGAGGAAATTTTTAACTTGTTTCTAATCCGCTGGCGATAATCTTGTGATCATAGAGCAAGAAACAGGGGTATTACTATAGTTCTGATTAAAAAAATGACGATTTAAAAACTGGAAATTATTTAAAATTATGATAAAATTAAAAAGTAAAAATTGTATTGTATTGTATTGTAAATCCTAGGTTAACTATCCAACCCTGTATTTATCAATTGTCCATGGTCCAACAAAAGAAGAATGATTGCAACAGAAAGTGTCAAGAGAGTGGGTGGCGTGTTTAACTGTACATTGTACTTGGGATTTATGAATGACNGGAAGATATCAAGAAGAAAAGAAAAATTTAAAAAAAAATTTTTATTTTATAAAAGAATTACCTGCACTTTTGCGAAAACGATAAACATTCAAATTTGTCAAGGGCTTTTCAAAAAAATTCTAGATCTGTAGCTTAATTAATAAAAAATAATCATGAAGTTGAAAACGTTTGAAAAGGAGTTTGAGCGTTCTAGTGGGGGTAGGTAATTAAACGCTTACCCCATTATTACCATCTTACTTATCAACTTATTACTTATTACCATGAGCATGTCTTTATATTTGATAAAGCCGAGATATCAAATACTGATATAATCTCGGTACAGAATAATTGAACACAACAAGCAGACCACAAACAGTTGGTGATATACATGTTCGAGTGAAGATTTGGTGGTTTACGTATAGAATTTAATCAATTTACAGGATTTGATTAAATAATCCTGGCGAAGATAATAAAACAAACTTCAATCTATATACTTATAGGTTGTAAAAGTCGAACAAACAAATTTTATTTAATCCTTTTTTAACGTCATTGATAATTCAGTTTGATGTTCGATTCGAATTAAAGAGACATCTATTGAGAAATTTGTCAACTTATTTCTAATTCGCAGGCGGCAATCATAACAAAACAAGCGATCATAACAAGAAACAGGGATGAGTAATGGTATTACTAAAGTTTTGATTAAAAAAATAACGATTTGAAAAAATATCGGGGGATGATGAAATATCATAAAATTAAAAAAGTTGAAATATGAATATTGTTAAACCTAGCTATATAACATAACCAACCCTGTTTCTATCAATTGTCCATGGTTCAACAACAGAAGAGTGATCTCAACAGAATTGTCACGGGCATGGGTGGGGTTTGTAACTGTACACGTTACAGGGGATTCATGTTGACATGAATATGATTGATAAGATCAGTTCAATTACAGGTAAAATTGAAAATAGAAAAGGGAAGATAAGGAGGGAGGGAGAAAAATTAAATTGGGGGGGGGGGGATTGAAGAATTGAAAAAATTTACATTTTCCTTCCCTTTTTTTCAAAATCGTTGATTTAAAGAATTAGATGTTTGAGAAAATTTAAATATTTCTAATTTTATAAAAGCACTTGCTGAAATTCGCGGTGTTGCCCATTGCTTCTTTAAAAATCGTCGAAAAAAATAGCTTTCGGTTTCAAATTTTAGATAATCTGAAGAATAAACGAACCAAGGTGCCACAAGCTATTGGAATTTTTTGTTTTACAATTAAACAATTTTTAGACTCACTGATTAGTCTTCTTCAACTTTTTCGTTTAAAAAGCATTATGCTGACATAATTAAAAGAGAAAATACGTAAACATTATGTTAGATCCAAGTTAGATCCAAGTTAGATCTAAGTTAGATCCAAGTTAGATCCAAGTTAGGTCCGAGTTAGATCCAAGTTAGATCAGAGTTAGATCCAAGTTAGATCCACGTTAGATCAAAGTTAGATCCGAGTTAGATCCAAGTTCGATCCAAGTTAGATCCGAGTTAGATCCTGACCAATCTCTTAATTCTTACCTAGAAGTTTAAATAAGGTTTTGTATTTCTTTAGGATATACTTCACCCCAAGCTCTTAATTCTTACCTAGAGTTTTGATAAGATTCTGTATTTCTTTAGGATATACCTCACCCCAATCTCTTAATTCTTACCTAGAGGTTTTGATAAGATTCTGTATTTCTTTAGGATATACTTCACCCCAATCTCTTAATTCTTACCTAGAGGTTTGAATAACATTCTGTATTTCTTAAGGATATACTTCACCCCAAGCTCTTTATTCTTACCTAGCGGTTTTGTTAAGATTCTGTATTTCTCTAGGATATATTCCAGACCATGATCTTAATTCTTACCTAGAGGTTTTGATAAGATTCTGTACTTCTCTAGGATATATTCCAGACCATGATCTTAATTCTTACCGAGGTTTGTATAAGATTCTGTATTTCTCTAGGATATATTCCAGACCATGATCTTACTTCTTACCTAGAGGTTTGTATAAGATTCTGTATTTCTCTAGGATATACTCCAGACCAAGCTCTTAAATCTTTAATTTCTCTCAAATTTTCACAGTTGGCCAGTAATATCTCAGTAGCCTGAAAAAGTAAAAAAAATAGTACAGAGAAAATCAAAACAAGAAAACAAAGCTGTCAAAAGATAAAGAAAATAAAAAATGAAAGACTAGAAAATTTTTTATTAAAATGGAAGAAATTAGAGAAAATGAAAATCAAGTATCAAAAATAAGAAATCATGGACCATGCAGAGAATATTTAAATTGGAATTACACTTACTTGAATAGTTAGATCACTCCTCTCGCTTCCTTTTACACTAAAGGTTTCAAGTTTAGGTATGTAGGGCAGGATCTACAAGAAAAATCAAAAGATAAATTCATGACGCTTTGCCCAAAGGACAGTACACAAAATCAAAATATTTTTTTTGTGATAATCAGAAAACTACGGAATAGGAAAACAGCGTTAAAGCATAATCAGAAAACTACGAAATAGGAAAACAGCGTTAAAGCATAATCAGAAAGCTACGGAATAGGAAAACAACCTTAAAGCAAAATCAGAAAACTACGGAATAGGAAAACAACTTTAAAGTATAATCAGAAAACTACGGAACAGGAAAACAACTTTAAAGTATAATCAGAAAACTACGGAATAGGAAAACAACGTTAAAGTATAATCAGAAAACTACGGAATTGGAAAACAACGTTAAAGCATAATCAGAAAACTATGGAATAGGAAAACAACGTTAAAGCATAATCAGAAAACTACGGAATAGGAAAACAACGTTAAAGTATAATCAGAAAACTACGGAATAGGAAAACAACCTTAAAGCATAATCAGAAAACTAAAGAATAGGAAAACAACGTTAAAGCAATACTTAAGTGTATTTGATGTTGATACTAATTAGTTTCTTGTAACTTATTTAATTTCTTATTAAGTGGCATAGGTCTGTTTACACAATTGCTCTCTTTCATGCTCATTGGCTTTTTAAAAGTCATGTCTCTTGACTCTTGAGGCTAAAAGACGTCTTCCTACGTCACAGTTTTCTGGTCATCACAGTACACAAAAATGTTCTGCAGTTTCTGAAAAAAATCTTTACAGGTTTAATCACAAAAAGATTTTTTTCATTAACTTTTCAAAGGATTTGAGTCTTTGTCACAATTGTCCAATCCCTATTTCTTTGCAACCCAATTTGTCCTAAAAATTTAGATATTTTAAACCATCTATTCAGGTATTGATTTTTTTCTTTTAACAAATTCTGACCTGGTTAATATATTTATCATTTACTTCTATCATCAGTCCAATGTCTAAATGCCTCAGATTTCTTGCGTTGGAAATAAGAATACTGAAAAAAAATATATATGAAAACCAAGAGCAAAAAAGGTGATTTTCGAATTTCATAGTTGATTGTGTTGAAATAGATTTTTCAAATAGATTATCAAGTACAATAGGTGGCAATAGAGAAATGGACTAATTATACACGAATTCACAAGTGTCAAATATAACAAGGTAAACAAAATTTTCTCACATTAGTTGACATGTTTTCCAATATTAAACATAAAAGTGTAAAAACAGAATATAAAGAGCACATAAAATTGCAATTATTTTACTGTAAGATAAGCACTTTATTCTAAAAGTATCACTATTATTAATAATTTTGTCGGATACAAAAACTGAATGAATACTTGTGACGTCACAATACAGTGTACAAATTCATCATTGCCATCTATTGTACTAAAATCTATTTGATTATTAACATTTTTTAAAACTGTAATGCAAATTTGTTTGTCTCCTTTAAAACTTTTTGAGGCAAACAAGGTTCTACTGATATTTATTATTTGTATAAATATCTATTAAAGTTAATATTTTATGGGCAACCCTTTAAAGTAGATCTTCTGAAGAAAGAAATGATATATTGTAAAGAACATCTACTGGAGATACTAAGACTGTAGATCTACTAAAGATAAACCTGATATCTTGTAAAGTACATCTACTGGAGATACTAAGACTATAGATCTACTGCAGATAAACCTGATACGTTGTAAAGAGCATCTACTGGAGATACTAAGACTGTAGATCTACTAAAGATAAACCTGATATGTTGTAAAGAGCATCTACTGGAGATACTAGGACTGTAGATCTAATAAAGATAAACCTGATATGTTGTAAAGTACATCTACTGGAGATACTAAGACTGTAGATCTACTAAAGATAAACCTGATATGCTGTAAAGTACATCTACTGGAGATACTAAGACTATTAAGATGGACCAAGGGCTGCATGATTTCAACCACAGGCACATCTCGTAACAGCAAGGAACTATAAAATATTAATGAAAAATGGCAAAGAAGGGTAGACAATTTTTACAAGCTAAATTTACATCATTCTTTTAATAAATATGAGAAAGCAGTTATAATTATGTTTGAGTTAATGCTGTTAAAGGTAAAGATGACAATTGACAATGCCTATTGCCTGCTTTACAAAAAATACCCTTAAAATCTTTGTCTGATCATTTATGAATTATATTGTTTATAAATTTTAAAACTCTAATTATTTTCAATTGTTGGTTCTCTACAAAAGTAGGTTTCGCATTTTTACCGCTGAAAAACATATAAAAATTATCAGAATTAAAAACATGTGAACCTAGAAAAACAAGATTATCCTCCACGACCACATTATTGATTAAATAAAGGTTTTAAGGGTACCGTTAGCAATTGGGCATTGTCATCTTTTCATGTAAAGTGTCTTAAAATTATGTTTACATTCCCCTTATAATTTACTAAAGCTATAGAAAAATAGAGACAGTTTGATTAAAAAAGATTTTCAAGTACTTACCGTTCATAATCGTCTGTATTTTCAAAATCTTCAAAAGATGATCGAAATCCACAATTGCTGAAACCAAGTTTTTCAAGTTTAGTGCAGTACACGGATATCATCACGAGAGCCTGGAAAAGAATGTTTAATATATCAAATCCATAAATTTAATTTTTACCATGATTTAGATATCTTAATGTGAATATTTAAAATTTTTCCATCTTCAATACCTTTAAGTCAATTTGGTCTACATAGTAGAGTTCGAGACATATTAGCTGACTCCCTATTTCCTCAAGAAGATCAATCAATCCATCTGAGTAAAAATCACCTCCACAAATATTTAAACTTCTAAAAACATAAGTAATTTTTATTAGAGTTATTAAACTTTTAGTGGTCAAATTATTGATGATTGAGCATTTTTTAAGGGGTAGAGGGGCTTCTTGTTCTTGAAAGTTCTTCGTTCAGGAACAAATGCGGAAAAAAATATCTGGAAATCCGCTGAATTTGTAAATTTCAAATCAAAACTGTAAAAAAAGTTTAAAAATACTCTTCAAGTTGACATAAATGATAATCAAAGTGCAAAAATAAAAAAATAAAAATTAATGATTTTTGTTTCTACTCAGACTAAGTGTTACAATAGCAAAGTTCTATTTTTGGGTTTTAAAAGACTGTAAAGCTGAATTTTACTTGGGAAAAGTTGTTAATATTGGACCATGTTAGATTTAAATTTTTCAATCTTTTATAAAAGTTAGACCATGAAGAAAGAATTAGATAAAAAGAATCTTACCGAAGTTTTTTAAATTTTGCCAAAGGTGTAAAATTTATAAAATGTTCTCTGCTAAACATAAATCTCATCTTCTCTATACCAGGACAGTACAGGGCCACAAGGGCCATTTGAGCTTGTGTATGGAAATGATAAGACTCAGAGGAATAAAACTCTCTGATTTGTAGAACTGTTCCTTTGGATTCAGGCCACCAATCTATCCAATCTAAAATAAATATGTGGGTAAAAAACAAGATTTAAAGAATTTTTTTGTAAAATCTTGTCATGATTTGTTTTGTTTAAGCTTGTTAAAAATGTCTATGCATTGTGCAACATGATGAAAATTAATTTTAATCAAAACTTTTAAACTATCTCTATGTTTTATTATAATTGATATAAAAATAGTGCATCTAAAAAAGAGAAAAGTTTGAATTGTGTAAATTTCATGGGACTTGACCGCTTGAAAAGAACGATTGTGAAAGCAACTACTTCCATTTTTTGACAATGTGTTTCTATCATAATTATTTGTAATAACCTTACCGAGAGCATCACAGAGAAAATCTCCTCTATCAAGTTCATGAAGCTTTGGTAGATTTAAAAGAATTCTTGCTTTGCCTTCGTTGGTTATTCCACAAGAGAATATGTTAATATTTACAAGTAGTTTCATTGCAAATATGTCTTTTACACTGAATAAAAGAATAAAATAAAGCTCTCCATTGAAGAGTATAAACGATATTTTGTGGTTTAAAATAATATTTTACCTAATATCTGTCACATGAAAAGATCGCTGAACATCCAAAGTTCTCAAAGTTTTTGAGCAGTTTTTACCCAGAAGCTCCACAAGTTCATCAAAACAATCACATTGGAGTGAGAAATAAGTAAGTCTGTTCATTCCACCAACACCAGTGAGAAAATGCTGCCTGAAAATTATGAAAAAAGTAATAAAGAGATTTAAATTACTTTTGAGATTGAACAGATTTAAATTACTTGTAAAAATCTGCAAGATATCCATGAGACCCCTCTCCCATTATCAACTTCTTCATGCCCGTGAGTCCTTCCATCCGTGTGTAAATCCTGTTCTTCACAGCCTTAAAAACATCTGTCAATCCTCAGTAAGTTTTCTTTTTAGTTTATTTACATTTCTAAAACTTTATTTACCTGAATAAGGTTTGATATATCCAGGTTTGATACAATCGGAGAAATTACGCTGTCGACGAAGCTTTAATAAAATGGAGAATGTAATTTATATACAGTGAAACCCTTAATAACGAATACATCGGACGAATTTATCAAATGTCGTCTTGACAATTTTTCAATGAGTTTTATATTATATTACGTAAATTTCAGTATTTGCGAAAATAAATAAATAGTCATGAATATGCGGGAACAGTTTTAAAGAGTTCCATATAATCATTTAATTAAAAAACTGAATATCTGCAACATTCCATTATCAGAAAGTGAAGAATACGACATTTGATGAAATCTGTCGATGTATTCGTTATTAAGGGTTTCCCTGTATGCAAATGGAAAAAAACGCTAAAATCAAACAAAGAATTAAAAGAATTGAAAAGAGAGAACACACTTACTAATTATATATAAATATGAGAAAATGACGACATTTAGTTTTTTTCTTTCATATAAACATTAATTAATGAAGGTTTTTTTTACAATACTGTTAAAAGCAATTTAAAGAATAGTTTAACCAAAGACTTTGATTCAAAATTTGTCAGGGCAGCAATTTTCTTGGGTTATTATCAGTTCCTCCTGATTGCAAACATCTTAAATCAAATCATCCTTTTTATTTGTCAGCTGAACCTTAGAATAATAAATATCTTCATATTGACACTGGCTAGCTCTACTTATTCTTGTTGATCTAGTTTAGAAGTCAGTATCTTTACTACGATACCTAAGGATTATAAACATCTGCCCATTGACACAGGCTGGCTCTACTTCTAATAAATATCCATTTGTAATAAGTTTCGTGTAATACGTAATATAATATTCTGTAAATTTGCATTACATTGTACATTATTAATGATCGATGTTTGTATGTAAAAACCTATTTATTCATTTGAACTGCATTCTACATGAATATGTAGCATGATTAGCTTAATCATGTGATAAATGACGTATATCTTAAATATATGAGTAATAGCTTGTTTGATAGAAAGCTTCGCTTGTGTCCCTGTGTGGCATTTAGAGCCTGAGTAATAGCTTGACTGATAGATAGCTACGCTTGTGCCCCTGTGTGGCATTTAGAGCCAGGTGGGTTGTGTCCAGGTTGACTTTGTTGGCGGCCGGATTGTACCTGGACTGATACAGTATGAGACAAAGTTTTATGAGTACGACATTTACAAAATGCATATCCTTCTTGCTCTAGTTCAGAAGTTAGTAACTTTACTAAAATACCTAAGGATAATAAACATCTGCATGTTGATGCTTGCTAGCTGTACAGTTGTGTCCTTCTTGTGAAGTTCACAATTCTTTTCCACAACAGCCTCCTCTACTCCCTGCAGTGGAACAGTGAAGACAAGTTTGTTAACTTTAACCTTAAGGAACTTGTTTAATAATATTCAGAATAGATCTCCCCATTTTGATGCTGCACATAATGAAAAACATTAATGGGTAACAAATGTGTATCAAGAAATTGGAAACTCTTTACTTACAACAAGGTTAGAAGAAATCATTGTTGTCGATCTCTCGAAAGTCACCAAAAAAGTTGGACCTTTCAAAAATTGTGCATTTTTCTAGTATCTTGTAAAACCTTAATAAAATCTCATACTCCTTTTAAATAATCTAATAAAACTTTAAGAATCAAGACCAGAATGATTAGAGTTACTCATCTGTTTTTTTTACATACATAAGGGTTCAACCTGTATTATAGAGGTGACCACCAAGTCCAGGATTCCTGGAACACAGCTGTCCACAAACCAGTTTTGGAACTCCGCAACAGCTGATTTAGTTCTGATTGCCAATTCTTCATCTAGCTCCACATGACTGGTTTCATACTAAACAAATCACCAAAGCTGATGCCTCGCACACTTTGCTTGAATATCAATCGAGTGAGTTCCGGCCATGATATTTTACCAGAGATGAGATTTTAAAAGTTTAAACCTGAGAAAAGCCCAGAGTTGGGCTCAGATAGAACCTAAGTCAGGATTGGCTCTGATTCGACCAATTAGAGACTACTTAGAAAGCTTTCTCTCATTAGCAGACAGATTGCTAGCAGATCAGCTTTGACAAGAAGATGTAAATTTTGAAAATTCGAACTTTACATAGATACCTTATTTGCATAGCATGTTTATTTCATACCTTTGATTAAATTTGACATTACAAATAATTTCCAAGATTTTAAATGTACAAATATAAAAGTTTTTTCGAAATTTACGATTATCAGCTGCTGAAGTTTCAAGCCTTGAGGAGACAAAAACCCAAGGTGGTTGGTTTTTACTAAACTAACTCAATGCCATCAAAACCCCGGGTCTTCACTTGAGCTTTACTTGGGTCTAAGCAGACGCAAAGACTGGGTTTACTCGGGTTTAAGCTTTTAAAGGACGAAATTTGTGTTTTGTAAATAAGCTCTAATTGTAAGAATTGCTAATGCCATGAAGGAAATAATAACCTGGTCAAACTGCTCTTTATGCTCATAATCTATGACTTGTGAAGCCTGTTCTTCAGTGAACAATTTCTCCTCACCCTCTGCTACTCTGCCAGAAACCAGCTTTATCTGATTAGTACTTTTCAGAGACCTTCTGGTATCCTAGAAAAAAAACTCAATAATTTTTTATGTTTAAATAGATTAATGTCATGATTCTTATTTTGAGGGGCCACATGCATCCATCGATATATAAAGTTTCAAAATAAAAAATTTATAGTTTTCTCTCAAGACTGAAGAAATACTTACATTATCACTTGTCTTTTTCTTTTTACGAGAATTAAACCAGTGATTAACCAATTTCTCTCCTGTATATGAAACTGTCTCCTAAGTAAGAAAATTGTTGAATTTTAGTTGAGCTCAGTGTTCTTATACAAAAGAGACTCCTGAGGAATAGAAAGGCAACGTTTACGTAATCATAAATGTACAATTGATGTTGTTTATAAGCAAAACGTGTTACTAGCACCTTAAAAACTTAAAAACGGTTTATAGTGTGTACAGTGTACTTAAAATTATACGCAATTGCTGTATTAATTAGACTATTTAAATCGATATTCATTGTCGTCTTCATATTCTACAGATTTAAGTGTCTCACATGTATTGAAAAAAATAAAACCTAACAATTAATAAATTAATATTATTTTTCCTTAACTATCCTAGGCAGAGTCTCCAGGCAGATCTCAACTAAAATATTAATTTAAGTTAAATAAATAAAAAAGGGAAAAATTCTTTAGGATTCATTAGAGACATGTAAAACTGTTTAAAGATCTGTAAATCCTGAGTTTCAGCGCAAAGTCGACGTTCAAATTTGTACTTTTCAGTGGGTACGTTCTCAGAAATGTTTTCTTTTAATTATTAAATAACGACGACAAAAAATGTAAACAAAATCCTACAGTGAACTAATTAGTTGTTTAGGAACTTGTTGAGAATATAAAAATTGATCTTTTCATCGAAAATAAGTAATATTATTCAATTATTAGTTTCTTATAATATCTCTCTTTTTATAAAAATTCCTGCAGATTTTCTGGAATTTTTATTGAAAAGACGACATTTGAAGAATTTTTTAGAAATCTGCAAATAAATTCATAGAAAATAAGAAATTCCATATAATTAAGAAAACGAAATAACTGATTCTAGCATTGATTTATTGACAAATTTCCTTTGAGAAATATGTTTCTAACCATTTAATTAGTTTACTGTATAGGCAGATCTCAACTAAAATATTAATTTAAGTTAAATAAATAAAAAAAATGGACAAATTCTTTAGGATTCATTAGAGACATATAAAACTTTTTAAAGATCTGTAAATCCTGAGTTTGAGCGCAAAGTACTATTCGTACTTTTCGGTGGGTACGTTCTCAGAAATGTTTTCTTTTAATTTTTGAATAACGACGACAAAAAATGTAAACAAAATCCTACAGTGAACTATTTAGTTGTTTAGGAACAGGTTGAGAAAATAAAAATTAATCATATTATCAAAAATAAGAAATCTTATTCAATTATTAGTTTCTATAATATCTCTCTTTATTTATAAAAAATTCCTGCAGATTTTCTGGAATTTTTATTGAAAAGACGACATTTAAAGAATTTGTAGAAATCAGCGAATAAATTCATAGAAAATAATAAATTCCATATAATTATGAAAACGAAATAACTGATTCTAGCATTGATTTATTGACAAATTTCCTTTGAAAAATATGTTTCTAACCATTTAATTAGTTTACTGTATTATTTTTACTTTATTTTTCGTCGTCATTATTAAATAATTTTAAAAAGCTGATTCTGAAAACGTATCCACCCAAATTCATGATTTTGAACGTCGTCTGCACTCAAACTAGGTAATTATACATCGTTGAAATGTTTTATATGTCTCCAATGAATCCTAAAGAATTTGTCCACAACACTGCATACTTAGTTTAACTACCTTACATAGCCGGTCTGTCCCTTTAAATGGACTCTGCTCTTGATAATTTCAAGTGACCTTCCTTTCAATGATGGGCATGCCCGAATCACAATGATACCCTTTTATCTTTGTCTGGATTAATAATGAATCATTAAACTAATGAATTAATTACAGTGAAACCCTTAATAACGAATACATTGAAAGAAATCATCAAATGTCGTATTCTTCGCTTTCTGATTATGGAATGTTGAAGATATTTAGTTTTTTTATTAAATGATTATATGGAACTCTTTAAAACTGTTCCCGCATATTCATGGTTATTTATTTATTTTCGCAAATACTGAGATTTACGTAAAATAGCATAAAACTCATTGAAAAATTGTCAAGACGACATTTGATAAATTCTTCCGATGTATTCGTTATTTAGGGTTTTACTGTAATTAATTCATTAGTTTAATGATTCATTGATCAAATGGCGTGTTGATAAAGGACACCTAATTGTAAAACATTGAAGAAAAAAACTTAAATTTAAAATTTTAAAATGCTGAACAAAAGCTCGTTTTTAAATGTCGTCTTCTAATTCAAATTTTCCACGGTTAGTTGAGAGGATTGAGAGTGCAAATAATCATCAAATGTGAACTAAATCACAATAAAGGAAGCTTTTAAATGGATTTTAATTCAATAAAAGAAAGGGTTTTTATGGATAAAAATTTCAGATCTGTGGTCAAAACGTAATTTCATGCAAATATGCCACATTTTAAATATATATTTGTTGTCATTATATACATAGATAATGTAGATAAATAATAATAATGCACGCCGGTAAATCAACAAATATCAATTAAAAAGTTTGAAACCCCCATGTTTCACACTTAAACTCCAACTTAAAAATTGACGTACAAGTGTCCCAATAAACCATGGGTATAATATGTATGACGACTTTTAAATTATTTTTTTTTTTGGGAAATTCATTTGTAAATCTGGTAATGCTCAGTATACACATTCAAACCTCATATTACAAAATATAACTTGTATTTTTTGGACCCTTTCAAATTATTGAGTTATTTAGAATATTTTACAACATTTTTAGAACATTTTTTTTTATTGTCTTTCATGTTTTTCCCGGGTTAAAGATAATAGTGTTTATTGGGACACCCTGTACAATGCGATATTAAAAAACAACCAATTTTTCTATGAATTATCATTTTTCGCGAAGTTTGCGTATATCTTGCCTAGCGTAGGAACAGGATTACAAGGAGGCATGTCTACTGTCTAGTCAGATACTGAACGTTTGCGTCAAATATTCAGCGTCAGCATATTTTCTAAGGAAAGCCTGGATGCAAAAATAAGTTGAGATAAACACATTAAAGAACACAGGTTCATTTTTCAATGCTATTTTTCTCATGTCAGGCGTAGGTCATGAGCTTTATAAAAACTGATACAGTGGTGACCAGAAAACAATAGAACGAATGTTGTCTTCTTTTATTGTGAAATGTCTACTAACATTTTTTAATTTGTAAAATATAGCTCATACTCATTTAAAATTTCAAATTAAAATTTATATTTTTTGAATTTCATTATTCAACGTACATATTCTTTTGTTTAATGTATGTTTCAAAACAATGTTTTTAATTTTTAAAAGACAAAAAATGACGATTTTTTAAAGTAGAAAATATGATATTTTGTTTGCAAAAGGATTCTAGTACAATCGATGGCAACGTAGAAATTGTACAGCGAGGGGAGGAAGGCCAACCACAACAATTTTTAGTCCGAGCCACATTCTTCTCATTTTCTTGTCCGAGCCACCTCAAAATCCTAGTCCTTCCAATAATATATTCCATATAATCATTTGATTAAAAAACTAAATATCTGCAACATTCCATTATTAGAAAGTGAAGAATGCGACATTTGATGAATTCTTTCGATGTATTCGTTATTAAGGGTTTCACTGTAATTAATTCATAAGTTTAATGATTCATTATTAATCCAGACAAAGATAAAACAATAAATTTAACTTTATTTGTAAATTTATAAGAAATCAATTAATTTTTTATGTGGGCGGAAATGGAATGATTACAGACAAGCAAATTCTTTAATATTACTTTTAAATTATAGAAGTTCGGCATTACACAGGCAGAAGAGATTTAAGTTTTACCCTTAATAAAGTTTATCATTCTCATGGATTTGAAGGTTCCAACATGACAAAAACCTGGCAATATTTCAGTCTAACCATGCCCTTAACGTGGCTAGATTTTCAAAAAAAAACATTTTTATTTGTAAGGGTTGGACATTTAAAAAAAAAATATTGGTAGGACAAGGATTTCGAGGTGGCTCGGACGAGAAAATGAGGAGAATGTGGCTCGGACTAGAAATTTTTGTGGTTGGCCTTCCTTCCCTCGTACAGCTGTATTCTTACGTCGCAAGTGTCAAGTTAGTTATTGTTTCTGTCAAAATTACTTATAATATTGATTATTTTAGAATGAAATGCTTATTTCAGAAGTAAAATAAATGCAATTTTATTTGTTCTTCGAAAAGATGTCAACTATTGTGAAAGATTTCACCCCCCGCCCCCAAAACCCCTTGAATTTCATCCCCAAATTTCGTAATTTTGTATCCATGACGGTCAACCTGTATCTAACCTCCCTCTTCTCGTATTCATTTCATTTAGTTTTATTAATACCACCATTCTTTAAGGTTTACCAGATTTCCTTATTTTTCTTATTTTTTATTTTTCTCTTTTTTCCCCCATGTTTTGTTTACTTTTTCTGTATATTGCCTTTTTAATGGTTATCATTTTTTTATTTAACTATGTAATAATTTTGGTCATTTTCTTTTGGGCTGAAGTTAAGAGGATATACAAATTCTTCGAAATTAATTTCCAAACCCAAGTTTTTTTATTGTGCGAGAGTGAAAACCTTTTTTGCCAATATAGAGACAATTTACATGAGAAACTTTCGTTGTACTTGTTTTATTTGACAATTGTGACGTAATGACTATTGGTGCATTTTTCTGTTGTCACCGTATATTGTACTTGATAATCTATTTGGTTTTACGTTCTTTAGCATGATTTGAAAAATCATTACATGAAAAACTTAATAATACTCTTATGTTATTTTGTTTTTAAAGGTTTTCTTTTACTACTGACTTTTACAAACTCATTCTTCAAAGATTACTTTTGAGAGCTATAAAACAGTTATATAAACATCATACATTGTTTGTGTGTATGTATTAGAGATGTCAACGATAGTGTAACGTAACGTAATGTTGAAAAATTTAGAAATGTAGATACTAAAATGCAAAAATATTTTATCAATTGGAAAATGCGGGTTATGTTTTATTCATAAATAGATTTTATGAAACTTTAGAATAGAAAAATAACTAATTTTTTAATCGATTTTTTTTAAAAAGAAAAAAATGTTAAATAATTTTATTTCGCGTTGTTTGTTTTAAAATAAAATTTAGCACTTGTCTTACTATATTTGATATTTTTAACCCCAAACATTGTGGTTTGAAAACCAAAGCTAATTCCACTTTTTTACTCACTTTGTAAGTAACATAAAAAAAAACACAAACAGAACTAAAAATTCGCCACAAATTATAATCTTTGCAAGCTGGTGTTAGATAAGAATGTCTAAAGAAATTGCAAATTGTTCACAAACATATATTTCAAATCCCTATATCTTTGCTACCCAATGTTGTAGACCTTAGATATTTTAAACTATGAATTCTGTTAGAAAGAAGAAAAGGGTCAGTCTGCATTGCGTAAGAAAAGAAAAAATTAACCCTAAATTAATCTAAAATAATTTAGAACTATAACTGCTCCACATGCAAAAGTGGTTTGCCTTGCCGAATTTTAACTCATTTTATGAAGTGTCCAAAAACATGTCTATTTTTTAAGCTCGTCAAATACACGATGATAATTTCAAGTGATCCTCCATTTAAAGAGGGCCATGCTCGATTCCCAATGATAACGTGTATACCATTATCTGATTGATGATTTGAAAATTAGGAGTGTTTTCCTGTCTTGTATCTTGCAAAAAATAAAGATGATACATCATTTTCTTGGAAATGTCATGCTGAATTCAGATTCGTAAACCATTTTAAATATATTAAAATCTAAAGAAGTTATGGCCAAATAACGGTACTAAATTCCAATTTTTAAACTTTTTAATGTTTTTGATGAGTTTTTAGCTCTGACTCTCTCAATTTTCAATTTTTAAAAGAGTTTATATTGGAAAAGTTAAGTTAAAACGTAACGTTAACAAAAAATATTCTTTGCACTGAAATGCATTGTAACGTACAGAACTATGCCCCAATGACGTTTCATTAAAGCAAAACGTTTGTCATCTTTTAGATCTTAAACCAAGTGAAAGTGTAACGTAAGGTCTCTGAAAATATTTACCTTGCATCAAAGTGGAACGTTAAAAAATTGTGGTTTCATTACATAAGCTTTTACGCAACGTTGGGAAAGTTTTTTAAAACATCAAATGCAAAAACGTAACGGAGCTTACTGTTTTTTCAATAACATTTACTAAAGCTTAACGTTGTATAAGGTATTCAAGTGCAGAAAATTCATTACGTAACTAACGTAACGTTTTAAACGTTAATACTTTTGATGAACACTATCGTAACGAAAGCTAAAATCTAGAAAAATCAAAACGTTGACATCTCTAGTATGTATCCGATATAAAACGCCACTTTCAGAGCAGTAGCTCAGATTTGTTCAGTGCAGTTTAATGCAATGCAGAATAGGCTTTGCTTGATTGTTTGCTTTGTATAAAACCTCAAAACCATCCAATCGAATACACATGTTACACTCTAAATATTTCTAAATCTTTAGAGTAAAATCGGTAATAATTTACAAAATTATTTGGTCTCACTCTAGATCATTCTTTATTTTGTGCAAAATGTTCTTAGAAAACACGAATGATAATTCCCTTCAAAATGTTTTGCTTCCCATTTAAAGTATTCATTTCTTTAAATCATCTTATTTGAAGAGTTTCAGCCGTAAGGTTTCCAGCGAAAAGGAAAAATCGTTTCGCAAAAATTTCGCATTTTTTGCGAAAATTTTTTTTCGCGACCATTTCGCTTCATTTTCCCAAATTGTTCGCTCGCGAAAATATTTGTTTTCGCTATATTTCGCTTTAAACTGTTTCGCGAAAATGCGAAAATTTCGTTAAAAAAATAATGCGAAAATATTGCGAAAAAAGTAAAACGAAAATTTCGCGAAAAAAAATGCGAAACGTAAAAAAAACTTAAAACGATAGCTATTGAAATCAAATTCTCTTCATCAAACATTTATTAAAGTAAAGGAAGAGAAATTATTCATATGACATAGTAAAACTTCAAATCATGAGCTATCAGAGCAGAATTCCACAAGTTCTTTTCTGCAATTAGTTGTTGCAGCTGTAAGACTCATAGTTTTCACAAAATGTTCGCATTTCGCGAAAATATTTTCACGAAATTTCGCTTGATTTTCGCGATAAAAAGGTGAAAATTTCGTGAAAAAGTTTGCGAAATGCGACTGAAAATTTTCGCATTTTTTCGCGAAACGTTTCGTTCGCTGGAAAGCCTTCAGGTTTGATGTTTTCGAATATCCTGCGTAGGTAACCCTATTCTTAATCTTAAAATCATTCTTTTGGATAAAAAAAATTTATCAGATAGTTAGAAGTACATTTTATAGCTGGAAAATTGTTGCTTCTGAAGCAGAAAATGGGAAAATCTGTGTATAAAGAAACCGACCAATTAAAAATAATCAACTATAAAAGACTAGATGGTTGATATCTTTTGCATTCTGACAAGACAAAGTGAATCAGATATGTCACTCTGTAAATGGAGAGTCACTAAAAGTTCGTCTGTATATATGTGTTGTTAGTGCTACCGATTTTTATCTTTTCACACGTTTGATAATTATATTATTGACGTGGTAACAATATAAACCCATTACATAATATTTTATTTACCATTCTTTCCCGCAATTATCTTGTCCTTCTACTTGAAAGAGAGACAAAGGTTTGGCCGGGCTGGGGGGGGGGGGG